ACCTGAAGCATATTTGAAAGGTTCAGACCATAAGTTGGATTACTAAATGGTTTCCAAACATGACATACATATAATCAAATCGAACGGCTCGACGAGACAAATCCAATGAGCTTAAGATCGCCAAATTTTGATATCAATAAGACATTCAAATGCCAAACGAATAATCCATGATCAAAGAAATCGATATCGGTTACCATTCAAACCACTCCCAATATGCCCATGATCTTCTGCTATTTACTGGTCATGCCACTCTCAAACAATTATAAATATGCCCTTCATTTCTCATAGAGGGGAGGGAGGGAAGGAGGCCCAAGCAAGCAGAGAAGAAAGAAAATGAATAGAGTTCTCTTGTCACTGAACTCTTCCTCGACCACCGCTGGACTTCCACCCGACAGCCTACCGACGCCAGAGTTCTGCCTGACCATTGGCCGACACCAGAGTTCTGCCCGACTACCAACTAACGCCAAAGTTCTGCTTGGCCGCCGACTTTCGTCAGACTTTTACCTGACACCGAAATTCCGTACATAGCTGGACCTTCCCGTCTTTGGACTTTCAGCAGACTTCTACCTGACGTTGGACTTCCTCCAATCACGAGATTTCTACCCAACGTCGGACCTCAGCCTTTCGTCGAACTTCCTCCCGTCGCGAGACTTCTTCCCATCACCGAACTTTCGTCAAACTTCTACCCGGCGCCAAACTTTACCCCATCATCAGTCTTTCATCCGTTGCTGGACTTTTGTTGGATTTCTACCCTACGCCAAACTTCTAATCTCCATCGCCAACCGACTACAGTCATTCTGATCTCCTTCACCATACAACAATCTTTCTAAATACTATCGCATGTTGAATATGGACCTTCCGACCTTTATTTTTAGACATAATCTTTCTTGCCACTATTGCCCGCTCACTACGGTCCCCCCGACCACCATCACCAGACTACAATCTTTTCAACTTCCATCGCCCGCGGACTACAGTTCTATAAACCAAATAAAATGTATCAATAGTGATTCTTTTAAGTCCTATCATGTAGCACACTCTATATGATGTATATTTGTTACATCAAGCTAAGGCCTTCACCCAGGGAAGGGCAACATTTATACTCGACTACATATAATAGTGGATTCATTTAAACTAGGCCAGCCCCTATGGTTTTTCCCCTTTTCAGGGTTTTCCATATGAAAATTTTGATGTCTCTTATGAATGTTGCACACTCTCTTTTCATCTGTTTATGTGCTGGATCTTCGTACAAAGTTAAGTCATTAAACTTTATATTTCTCTACCGCCACAAATATTCCAGGATGCAACATGAATTGTTTCGGTATCCGATTTTGTACAGGTCTCGTGTTTCAGTTAATTTAGTTCTAAAGTGAATTGGTCAAAGCATGTTGATATCAAATTAGCATTTTAGATATACTGATGTTTGTTGTATAATTTCTTTTGAATAAAAATTGGTAAGAGCACATTGTATAATTGACAAATAAATTTACTGTCAACCTAATTGTTCCGTGACTTAAGCCTTTTAATACCAAATATGCAGGTAGATGTGATTTTGATTTTCTAACCACGAGCAGGTGGAATGTAATAAATGCAAAAATGATCTCAAAACTGCTGCATAAAATGATGCATGTGAAATTAATTGTTTCTGATGACTAAAATATCTCAAAACTCATGTCTTTTGTCTAATTTTTGCAGAACAATCTGATGTCAAAATATCTGTTACGCAACAAGGTTACAAAAAAGGAGCAGTTGTGTGAATAACTGGATTAGATAAGTAAAACTGTATTAAAAAAATGGATTAATAAATAGGATCACAAAAGAGTTACAGTTGTACAACATAACTGCATTACAAAAAATGATTAATTGATCAACTAGAACTAGGTTGACGATCTGCACACCTGATTGGCATTTTTGCACTAGTACCTAATGTTGCCGGCATATGCAATACATGCTCATTTTATTCTCCTTTAGTATTTAAAGGGTTCTTGCAAGTGCTTCTATAATGACCCTTGAGTTGCAACGACCACATTTATGACTCGTTTGTCTTCTTTACATTTTTTAAGAATTTTTTATCCATCTTTTCTTTGGTCTCCCATGAAGCATACATGAAATTGGTGGAGCGAGGACCTCGCCATCATTGAGTATCGACCACTGCTCCTTACCTGAAACTGTTCTTATGGCTCCGTTCTACACCATTTTATATATGCTCAAAGTTGAGATCATAAAAAAATAATAGCAAATATAACTATAGTAGTGCAATTGGATGCCAACCTATAATTGAAGTAGTTTTCATTCATGTATGCGTGCCATTGACTGTACTATTTTGTTCCAATGAATGCAACACCATGTACACATGGAAGCCCACATAACTGCCAAAACCCAGAACTACATATATGGTTCTCTATATCCACCTCATAACGATTGTATCTCCCTTCGACCTCAACTTTGATTGAAGTAAACTTGTGAATAATGAAGTGCTCTTTCCTAATTCTAACGTCACTTACATACTCCTCTACACAAGGAATTAGAGGCCCCTTCCAACAAGTACAAATTAACTTCCTCTAAGATCGTTGTTCCATCAGCTTTCCTCTAACCATGTCGATTAGATCCACGACGGGCTTATTCCTAGCCTCTTCCAGCCATGAATTGAAGGATTCTACTATATTTTTTGTGTTGTAGTGGTTTTTAATATGCTTACAAAAAGTAAATTTTGACCACTCACAAGTCAATGCACTTAGGTATGAATAAACTCATAGACTAATGTTTTATATTTCTTCTAAATTTGCATTGAAATCGTGCTAACTATAACTATTTATGGTGGTCCAAACTAACTTTTGTAATTTGTAGCCATCTTCATAGCTAAAAAATTTCTTAATGTTCTTCCAAAAGTGTCTCAAACACACCTCTAAGCATAAATCTGTTGGATGTAATTTTTTCACTTCAATGGAGTGGCCATCAGAAACCTAACGAAGCTCGTACCCTCCAAGGACAACCACAGTATGTGCAAAGTAGCAATAACTCTTGATTTGTCACTAGCCTTAATATTGATATCAAATTAATGTAAAATTGCATTGGAATGAATGTCTTATTTGAAACATAACGAATCCTCGAATCGCGATCCAACATATAAGGAATTTTCTTATAAATCTAGAGCCACAAAGAAACCATCAGACATTCCACCTACTATTACATCATTGTTGATCCTACTGTTCGCACTTAAATCATGAGTATCCACACACTGGCTGTCATAAGTAATACCTATATCTTCTTCATGATAGTTCACAACGACAACCACCTCCATTATGTGACAATCAGAAGATTCTGCAAGCATGTCAATTACATGTGTATCACTTATAATGGACATTTAATTTTAGGTGATGTTCCATTGATGTGATAGTATAGGTCGTAAGCATGACCCCTTAGCCACAGGCTAAGTGCTTTGGTTCGTTCTTTCAATAATAACAAATTAACATCACTTCTCGCAAGCTTTAAAATTTTCTGACTTCCACCAACATATTTTAGCCTGCTCTGGTCCTTCACTACACTCCAACATCCTCCATATTTGAACACAATATAGCACAAATTATTGAATTCCATATCTAGCAATAAAGTTATTAATGATATAAAATTTCAATAAGTAGAAAATATTTCCTATGAAGTAAAATAAGTTCTTATGAATGATGCGAGGTGTTTTTAAGTACGCGTCGTTTACCTCAAAGTATAGGTCGGATCCAGTTGTTATGTTTCAAAGGAACTTCGGACAGGAGGTCCAAGATGCCTAAAGCATTTACCTTAATGAGGTTTTTTGGAATGACTATTTGAGAACGAGCGGACAGGAGGTCGAATACGCCTGAAGCTCACGCCACACGTCGAGTTATTCTACTCAGTATGGATGATCGCCCAAAACGGAGAAGGTGGGCGGCATTTCTACGAGAACATAGATGAGTTTCTGCGTTTGACGGAATGGAGAAGAAGAGCAAATGCCAAAGGAGTCGCTCAAATAAGAGACATGGAAGATGAGTTTTGCGCGCGAAGAAGCTAGTGCTGTACAATATCGGGTGAACAGGGATGAAGACATAATGGTATTTTGGAAAGCCAAATAGGTTTTAAGTGGTAGATGTGTAAATAGACAACTTTGGGCGTTAGGTGCTTATATAAGAAACATAAGTGTTATGTATGTAAAAATCCCTATAATTTATTATTTATCACACTAACAGTTTACTCATGTTTGATCAATTTACTTTCAGTTCTCTCAAATTAGTCTATTTACTATACAAAATTAATATAAAATAGCCCCTCATATTATAATTGTAATGTAAAATTAATCATAATTTAGTCTCTAGATTTTACAAAATTGATCATAATTTAGCTCTAAAGATGTCATTTGGGATCAAATCTATATAGTTAAGAAATTAAATTAGAGTAATATTACATATGAATCATCGATGAGCTATTTTAAAATTTAACCCAAATTAAGTATTTTTTTTTCTAATTCAGCCTTGTGACAACAAACTTGATACAAATCGAACTTGAAATAACTAACTGATAAATTAAAATAATTTCAATATTATTTTAATATTATGTATATATGATTATTTAGGAGTATTATTTAAGATAAAAAATATATTTACAATATTAATATATTTTCTGAAGTCGAATTTAAATTGTGTAAAAATAATAATTTTAATTAAATTTTTTTTTTGGAGAAAATTAATTTTTTCCTAAAAAAAATTAAAATTAAAATTATTATTTTTTTAGAAAATTAATTTTAAATTTACATCGACTAACTTTAACACTCATCATTACTCCCAACTTTGAAAAATAATTGGCTACTTTTACCATACAGTGATAATTTATTTACTGTTTTTTTTTCGTCGTGTAGCGGATTGCTCTAATGTAGCTATCTAATCATTGAGCAGTGGGCCCCAGCCGTGTTAGGTATGCGGTTGTTGAGTTCTTTTTTTTCGGCGAAAGGTTGGTGAGTTATCTATTACTCACCGTCTCACCCTTAAAAGTAACCCTACCTCACAATCCCTCCCACACTCCCCAACTCCTTCACAGCCATCCTCCTCCGACCTTACTCAACCCAATTGATGGGCAGTTACAACGCCACCGCCGATGGAAGTATCGACGACGAGGCCGCCTGCCTCTACGCGATGCAGCTCGTCAGCTTCTCCATCCTCCCCATGACCCTCAAGGCTGCCATCGAACTCAAACTCCTCGAAACCATCTCCCTCGCCGGCCCTGGGGCTCAACTCTCTCCGTCAGAACTTGTCTCTCGCCTCCCATTCATCAAAAACCCCCAAGCCCCCGTCATGCTCGACCGCATCCTCCGCCTCCTCGCCAGCTACTCCATCCTCACTTGCTCTCTCTCCCCATCAGGCGAGCGCCGCTATGGCGCCGCACCGGTTTGTAAGTTCCTCACGCCCAACGCCGATGGAGTTTCTATGGCTGCGCTCTCTCTAATGAATCAGGATAAGGTGTTGATGGAGAGCTGGTACTATCTCAAGGATGCGGTGATCGAAGGCGGTATTCCGTTCAATAAGGCGTATGGGATGACGGCGTTTGAGTACCATGGAACGGATCCAAGGTTCAATAAGGTGTTTAACGATGGGATGTCAGGCCATTCAACTATCATTACAAATAAATTGTTGGAGATTTATGAGGGTTTTGATGGGTTGGGTTCGTTGGTGGATGTGGGAGGCGGAGTGGGGGCGACGTTGGGAAAGATTACGGCCAAGTATGCCGGGATTCGAGGAATTAATTTTGATCTCCCTCATGTAATCTCCGAGGCCCCTCCTCTTCCAGGTTTGTGAATTTGCTTTCATGATTTTTTTTAATTATTTCTTGGATTAGTGGAATGTAAAGCTGTTAAAATGTGTTGAAATTTTAATGGACGATGACAGGAGTGGAGCATGTGGGCGGAGATATGTTCGAGAGTGTTCCCACCGCTGATGCCATTTTCATGAAGGTAGGTCTCATTGCTTTTGAAAAAAATTGTTTTTTTTCTTTAAAATTTAAATTACTTGTCTTTAAAAAATTAAATTTAAATTTCACTTAATTTTGTTAGATAGTTAATATAATAATAATAATAATAATAATAATAACAATGATTGTAATAAACGTATATATAAAATAATTAAAAAAAGAAATATTTTTACAACCGCATCAATTATTTGTTTTCTGCTACAGAATATATTTTGACAGACTTTATGAGTAGTTTATTTAAAGTATTATTCTGGACATGGCTCAGCTTGATAGGGTGGTCGAAAGCGTAGGCTATCAATTAAGAGGTATTGAGTCCGAGTCTTTGTGTATGCGATGTGTGTGTGAATTTGCTTTAATTGAACTAATTGTCCAAAAAAAAGTATTTTTCTCCCCGGTCTCTACCACTCATTTGAAAGAAATTTTATTATTTTAGGTTAGTAGTATTCCATATCGATGAAAGCGATTTAATTGCAAATTCACATAGGGATGTAAACGAGTTGAGTCAAACGTTTAGTCAAATTCGAGTCAGGCGCCTCATGAGTCGACTTTTGAGCTCGACTCATGACAATGTAATGAGCTCATCGAGCCGCCCGATCTAGGGCCGATTTTTATTTTCCCACCGGGCTTTTGGTTTCCAACTTGGGCTTTATTTTCCCGTCCAGTTTTAATTTTTTCGGCCCGATTTTGAAGGCGGAAGGCTACATATTTGGAAAGAGCCGCCCGGTTTTTATTTTTCCTCCTCTAGTATAATAAATGCTCCTCCAGTATAATAAATGTTGCAGTTTTTGGATACATCATTCAAATTATATAACTTTTTTTGAAAGTTTCTATGTTTTAGTAATAAATAAAGTTGCCACATTGATTAGCCTTGATATTTTTTTAAAAAAAATTTATTAAGTATGCGGCTATAGGACTTGAATTAATTTTTTTATAACTTTTAAATATGATAAAAATATTAATAATTAAAAAAATTTTAAACAATAATTAAAGCTGGCTCACGAGCCGAGCCTCATCAAGCTCGAACTCAAGCTCGTTTAATAAATGAGCTGAAGTTCGAGCTCGATAAGCTCGGCTCGCGAGCCCATAAATGAATTGAGCTTGAGTGGGCTCGTGAGCCAGCTCACTTACAACACTAAATTTACATCATCACATAAATATTTTTAAATTGAGACTTGATTTGACATAACTTTTTTATTATATTTTTAAATCACAATTATATTTTTATTTTGTCATAACATTTTTAAATTTTTACTATTAAAAAAAATTGTACTAAGGAATTACTTTTTACACCAATTTTAAGGAAAAAAAATTTTTCTTACAACAGTTCATAATTATTTTTATATTTAAAATTCACATTTTAAAATTACATTTATAAATTCATGCTATATTATTTATAATTAAAAAAAGATAAAAATTGGCTATATAGTTAAATTCATGCTATATAGTTAAATAACTAAATAAATAAACATTAAATATTATTAATTACAAAGTAAATATTATTTACATTAGAAAAATTAATTAAAAGTTATGGTTAAAAATATATGTTTGGTTTGCTAATATGAGAAGTTTACTTTTGTTCTTTAGTCCTACATCTTCTAGATACTTTAGGTTAGTATTGTTTATAATTTTACATAATTTTTTGTGAATTAAATGAGCAAAAAAATCATATGGATGGTCATACTATGTGAGTAAACTTAATTGAAGCTTATTTATAAATTGATTATTATAACAAATTTAAAATTATTTCTGATTTAAATTTAATTTCATTTATTAAATTTATTTAAAAAAATTAATTATATAAAATATATAATTATTGAACTCATTGGTCATAAAAATCGGGAGTTGTTCACCGGTTTGACAGTTGAACCACCAATTCGAACTTGTTTTATTTGGGGAAAACCAATTTTAGAGGAAATCCATTCATGCTAACCAACTGGTACCTTTTTGAACTAGTCGGAATGGCTGGTCCGATCCCATTTTCAAAACAATGCATATTTCACCTCATTTAGCTCTCTCATTATTTTCCTCTAATAATTATTATGCTTATTAGTGTTGTTATCTACATATTAGCAGAAGTGTTCGAACTCCTCACTTTATACTCTCACTGATTAGAATTGTTGAGCAGAGCCGAACAAAATCAGGATATAATTTTGGTGACCAACCGTAATCATTTTAATGATTTTGTACATAAAAGGCTAACATTATTAAATATGGCAGTGGATTCTTCATGATTGGAGCGACGAGCATTGCCTCAAATTGTTGAAGAATTGTTGGAAGGCATTGCCTGAAAATGGGAAAGTGATTGTGGCCGAGTGCATTCTTCCGGTGGAGCCTGAACAAACCGTTGCAGCAAAAGGTGTCTTCCATGTCGACCTCATCATGTTGGCTCATAACCCTGGAGGAAAAGAGAGAACGGATAATGAATTTAAATCATTGGCAAAGGAGGCTGGCTTCTCTGATTTCAAATCCATCTACATATTTTCAGGCTGTTGGGTTATGGAATTCATCAAATAGATTGTTGCAAGAGCTACATGCATATATATTGGCTTGTTTTATCTTGATTTTGATTACGCATTCATCAATCTCTCTTGTTTCTCTTGTTTGGCATTTACTAATAAAAACATTTGCTTCTTGTTCGTTGTTAAACCCATTGTTCTCATCATATTATTCCAATTGTTATATATTTTTTATTTTTTTCTACAGAACCACAAGCCATTTGTTTTTGGCATTTTTCCCCTAGTGTTAAGTGTTAACACCATCTACTTGTTAATAGGATGAAACATTGGGGGTTATCTGTCAATGTACAAGAGCAATTACTATTACTACTACTGTGTTGAAAACTTGAGTCTTATTCTTTAGTTTCATGCGGATAAAAGTTGTTACATTTGATAATGCTAGAGTACAATTCCTTATTAAACCAAAGAATTTTTTGCGAATATATGTAAAAACTTTCTTCTTACTATTGCGGTTACAATTCTTCACTACTTTTTGCAGTTAATAAAATGGTGCATTGAGACAAAGCTAACAGAAGTTTTAGGCTTCATTTGAGGCGGTTTTTTTAGGTTTCGTTTGTGGCGGATTTCTAGCTGCTTCTTAAAACAACGTTATAGTATAAAATTTTAACTTTTATAATAAAAAGCCTTTTTGAGAAACAGTAAAAAAGCCGTCCCAAATGAGGTCTTACTGTTTCTTAAAGTAGCTTTTTAGTATAATTTTTTTTTAATTTTTATATTAAAAAACTACTTTAAAAGGCATTAAGAAAGTCATACCAAATGAAGTCTTAATTTATGCCTACAACACATTATTTGATAAATTCAAGAACTAGTAAAGCTTATGAACGATCAATAATTCATGCGAAAAAAAAAGTACTAGTTTTTTTTTTTTGCATGGAGTCATTTCATTAATACAAAATTGGGAGAAGACTTATGTGATGGTTATTCATATAATTTCAGGCATCATAGAGCTTGAATGATTCAAAAATAAACTACTAATTTAATAAAGAATAACACATTTCTTATTAATTATGGTAACCTTCAAAGATATATTAGAATTAATCTATATTGTTAATTCAACTAAAAAATGTGGCAACCAATCAATTGCACATTATTAGAATCATCAATCCTAGATATCTATTAAGTGTAGGTAGACTATGGCACCTACACTATTGAAAATCTTTGTTTATTTTGAAAACAAATGGAAAATGTAAGAAGTGTTATGCTAAACCCTAAACTAAAACATCAAGCACAATTACAGCTTATATCAATCATAATGAGCATAATAACAAGCAACTAAAATAAATGAGTAAGCCAAGAATAGTGAATCAAATGAGATAATAAATAAATAATTTTTTATATGATTCAGCTACCAATCCAACTTATGTCCAAACCTTGTCAATACTTCGATGTATTATTTGTGTGGACACTGGATGGGAGAACCAATCGGTGTTCTCTCTGTCTACAGTAAAAGCATAGTCTCTCTATCTACAGTAAAAGCGCGCTTTTATTGGCAGATGCACTTTTGCTGTAGGCAGAGAGAAATCCAGACAGTTCTCTCTGTCCGGTATCCGCACAGAATAATTTCTCCAATACTTGAACTATGATTTCGCTACCTCTAAGTTACTACTTTGCCACAAGTAATACAATTAGGCCTTATAACATTCCAGAAAATTTGTGAATAAAGGTTAAACTCAATTGTAGAAGTTTTAAAAAACAATATCGACAACAATATATAAATTATCCACAATAAATTTAACATAACCCTGCAGCTATCTTCAATTAATTATGAATTCCCATTACTTAAAACAACTCAGTAATTCAATGTAGTAGCTTAGACTAGGGGTGAAAATGAGTCGAGCCAAACTCGAGCTTGATAATCCAGCGAGCTAGAAATTTTGATAAGTTCGGCTCACGAGCTCGTTAACGAGTCTAGCTCGAGCCCGCTCGGCTCACTTGCACCCCTAACTTAGATTGAAATCAGTTTAACTCCCTGTCCCTTTAGCATTAAATAGAAGTATTTTGAACTGTCGATTGCCTTAAAATTTCAAGCTCACAAGAGTTGTTGCTCAACAGGTTGGCCAAAGGATTCACAGGATTTTGCAAATTGAAAAGAAAGCTACTTTCTGTTGTGGTTCAGCGCACATATTTTGCAAGGAGAAATGAACTTATCATTCTACGGTGCTGTTCGATTACTAGAAATTAATGAGTGATTAGGATCCTCACAGCAACATAATCGCAGCCTTCTGTATCTCCATTTGATTCCATACGCATTACCACAACAATCTTGAGTGGAAAAATAGTTTTAGTAAAAGATCGAAAGCCATTTAGAGCTCAACAAAGAATTGTTTTAGCTGATAAATTAAGCTGAAGTAATATCCAGTTTTCATAAATTCCAATTTTCTGCTACTATGGTTGGTAGTAGAAAATAATTTTTTGCCATCGAAATAAAGAAGAATCAGTGAAAAAATAAGGAATCAGTAACCAAATAAAATTATGATTGCTGTCTGAAAAAACAAAGAATATAGAAAGTTGTCACAAGCAGAGGCTTAAGGTAGGTTTGGGACAACTTTTTCATTGTTTTTTTTTTTTTTCAAATTGCAACTAACCTCATTTGGCTACTGCTTTGTTATTACTTTATCAATATTTTTTAGAAATTTTTAAGATAAAAAATTGCTTTTTACAACTATAATGACGATGTTATTTTCTTCAAAACAACTTTACAACTAAATTTATAAAATGTTACATCGGTCTCAAACAAAATTTTAATCACTTTTAATAATGAATGATGACAAGTAAGATTAGGATCTTCTGCATTTTTTTCTAAGTCCTATATATATGTATATACTTGAGCTTAAGCAACTAAGACAAAAGTTAAAACCGTTTTATTCAAACATTAAACTTGTCATTTGCAAGCCTAATAAATAATTATATGGTTTAGACGTGTGTTTTGTTATTATTCAATATCATATATGGTTAAGAAACAGGTTAATTATTTATTTTTTTTACTCCATTACATTCTCTAGGTCTTGCAATGCCTTCCTCGTGAACCCCTCTTCTCTTTTCCAAGACTCCAATTCCGCAATGTCTTCCCCTTTGAGCTCTGTCGCACATGTAGCCGACCCATGTTGCCTTCTCAATGATGTAATGCTCCAAGACCTAAGTTGGAAGAATTGTATTTTTTATCTTCTAATTAAACTACTATAGCCACTAATTTTATTTTTTGATAATTAAACTAGCTAAAACATCAATATATCAAATTATTTAACAATATATGCATGCTTATTCAATATTCAAATACAATAACAAGAAGTTCAAACTATAACATGTATAAATATAATTGAACTTTAATTGAACGGTATAAATATGCTAGATTATTTTTTCTTATTAAAACATTTATAAGAAAAAAACAAATGTTTTTGCTTGGATTATAATTGTTTTAATTAATTGAAAATGTTATCAGTATTTGAATAAATTACAAATAAGTGACTAGTCCTCAAACTTTAGGGCAATCAGATTTTAATAGTCGACCAACAGGCTAAAATCTAGTGATGAATAGCACTTGGATGAAAATCCAACGACGATCGGTGGTTGGATATAAATCCAACGTCAGTTGACAGCCAAGTTGAAGTCCGACAACACTCAGTGGCCGGGCAGAAATCCGGTGTTTGTTTGCGGCCGAGTTGAAGTCCGACGATAGTAGGTGGTTGGGAAAAAAATTGACTTTAATTGGTGCCCGGGATGAAGTCTGGCGACAGTCAATGGTCTCCCGATTGTGCTCGAGGAGTAGTATGGTGGCAGGAGAACACTAGTTTCTCTTTCTTCATTCTCTTCATTGGGTTCCCCTCAATGAAGAATGAGGAGCCTATTTGTAATTTTTTGGGAGTGACATGGTTAGTAAATAGGAGGAAGATCAAGGGTATGTTGAGTGTGGTTTTAATGAACGATCGATATTGATCCTCTTGATCGTGAACCGTTTACTGAACATTTGAATATCTTAATTATATTAGAATTGGACGATCTTGGGCTCATTTGATTCGTCTCGTCATGCTACTCGTTTAAACTATAAGCATGTCATTTTGAAAATTGTTTGGTTATCCAATTTATATTTTGAACTTTCCAAAGGAGCTTTAGTCTTCAATTTGGACCCATTTGAGCTTGGATTGAGTTGAATTTTGTGGCGTTGGGTTTGTCTTTTCAAGACATTCAGTTCGGCTATAAGTTTGCTGAGATCGCAGTTTATATGGTTCAAGATTTAATTTCTCAAGTTTCTAACTTGAATTGCCTTGAGATTCGTACCAGATCATGATTAATTTTTCAGGATATATCAGTTATATTCAACATAACAAAAAAAAAGAATAATAATCAGAATATTCGTATAAATCCTCCTTTATTAATCGCAAAATAAAACAATTGTCTTTCTCTCCCCTCCTTCCTCACCTCCATTAATCCATAACCCTTCGAGGAAAACAGAATATCTGACGTGGCAACCCCTGGCCCCATACCTCACCTTTGACCCCACAAATAATCGAATATGCTATCCTCAGATTCTCTTTTTCCTCTTAACCTTCTGACCTCCCACAAAAATGTAAATCAAAGCTTCTTCATTTCCGAGCAGAGGAATCGAAAAAGCAAACCTTTTTCTGGCTCTCTGATCCTTCGCCGCGAATCAGGTCAGGAGAAGGGGGAAAGAGGAAGATAAAACCAATGGCGAAGGAACATCTCCAGGTTCTCTCCGCCCTCGACGCGGCCAAAACACAATGGTACCATTTCACCGCCATCGTCGTCGCCGGCATGGGCTTCTTCACCGACGCCTATGACCTATTCTGCATATCCCTCGTAACCAAACTCCTCGGCCGCATCTATTACCACGTCGATGGATCCCTTACCCCCGGCTCTCTTCCTCCGCACATCTCTGCCTCCGTCAACGGCGTTGCCTTCTGTGGGACTCTCTCCGGCCAACTGTTCTTTGGTTGGCTAGGAGATAGGCTTGGCCGGAAGAAAGTATATGGGATGACTCTGTTGCTTATGGTTATTTGTTCGATTGGATCTGGATTGTCGTTTGGTCATAAGTCGAGTTCTGTGATTGCGACTCTCTGTTTCTTCCGGTTCTGGCTTGGCTTTGGAATCGGCGGCGATTACCCTCCACACATAAGATAATAAATAATAAAAATATAACTATATAAAATAGAAGGATTTCCGATT